TACTAGTTTTGATCCTAGATGATGATTCAATTGTTGGAAGATGGATATTAGAAGGAAAATCAACAGATTCATTTGTGTATATATGTATTCAACATTGACATAAACATTAGAATATTAGAATCCATAGTAACGTAAGTAAAACAATATATATGAATTAACAATTAATTTAAATAATGTGTAAATACAATAAATAAAAATAATAATTAATATAGGTGCACAAATAATTAATTGAAAAAATGAGTAGCTAATAAATTTAATTAAACTAATTAATGTTACTGATTGGCGAATGCAATACAAAAATTAGTTTCTTCTGATAAAAGTTTCTTTTTGCACAATTACAATTGTCACTTAGGGATGACACTTCAAAATTAATTAGAATTGAAAGAGATTGAGAGTTTAAGAGAAGACGAAAGAGTTTAAGAGAGAAAGAAAGAGAGAATTATTTGTGAGATTTGTTTGAAAAAATGAAGGATATTTATAATAGTTTGAAAGAGTGAAGTAAATTATAATAAATAAATAAATAAATATATATATATATATATATTACCGTTTGAATTTTATATAATGCTTTGAATTTTTTTATGACCATCTCTTACTAATTTACGACCTTTTTTTTTTTTTTTTTTCATTCAATGAATAAAGAGTGAGTTGAGTGATTGAGATGCAACAAAGTAGGCTAGTAGGGGTGGGATAAACTAGGCAGCAAACCGTTTGAATTATTTATTTTATTTTTCATTCAATTGCAATTTTCAAATTTGCAAGCAAGTGAAAGGGGTGTCAGGTATGAGTGATGATGCAGGGTAGGTTGGGCAGGCAGAGAGAGGGTCTAGAATATTATTATATATATATATATATATATATATATTATTCATTCATTATAAGGAAATGACATAATTATTATGTTATTTTGTTTTTTTTTATTATTTTTATTTTTGTAAGATCAATCTTTTTATTTATTTATTGTTTATATTTTTATTTTTTAAAATATTTTTTTGAATATATTTAACCTTGCAAGTTGTTTTTTATTTTTATTTTTTTAAAATTTGGCCATTGGTAAATAGAGGGTCAAGTCGGTGGGTAAAGTCAGGCCGTCCGAGGGCTCAAAATTTTTTGGGCTGGACCGGGTTTCAAATAGAGCCCATGCTCGGCCCGAGAGTATAGGCCTAGGCCCAAGGTAATGGGCTGGGCTTCGGGCCCTGCTTAACTTGGCCGAAAATGGGCCGGGCCCACCTCAAGCCACGGCGGGTTCGGGCCGCCGACAAAAGCCTCGGGCCATTTTTACACCACTAGCTTCGGTTTGACAAAAAGTTAAAATGGGATTTTTTTAGCTAAAATAGTCACAAAAAGATAAAATAAATTTTTATCAAATAAATAAAATGTCACATCTGAAGCATAATCATTTCATTTTTTTCTCTTACAAGAGTCAAAAAAATCAAAAAAACTTATTTACCAATGTGTCTTTTTAGCCATAGGTTAAAATAATTAAAAATGTCAAAAATTCAATCACATCCAAATGAACCAAAGATAAGTAGTCTAATTGTCTTAGAGGGAGACAAAATGATAATGAATCTCACCGATCAATCAATGATAGTCAAGTTGGAGCACCCATAATATTGTTCTAGGAGCAAAGAATAATTTAGGCAGCGTATATGGGGTTGTGGAGAAAATTATTTTATTGTCTCAAGTGTTGTCCACCTATTAAATGTTTGGACAAGTCTTTCAGTTGTCTCCTTCAAAGAAGACAAACAAACAATAGAATTCATGTTTTAACTAATAATAATTAAATTGACATACCACCTAAATTTGTCCTGAAAACCATGAATAATTTCTCTTATGGTGTGCCATCTGAGTGGACCTATCTTGAAACGGAAATTTTAGAAGAAAAAAAAAAGAAAAAAAAAATATACTTACAAAATATTTTTATAAATTGAAAAGTCAGGACTATCGACTGGTCAATCGAAAAAGGTTATGGAATGATTTTCACAAAACAGTTAAAGATTTATTGGCAGTCAATCGAAAAAATCTCTCTAAGCTAGGCCTAAGAATTTAATGAATGTATCAATGCATGTGACATCATCATTTGTAATGCATCAAATGAATTAATGAATGGATGGCAGTTGCGGTTCTTCAATTTGGTGGGGGGTTTGTGGAGGGGGAAAAAAGAAAAGGGAAACAAAATGTGAATAATATTTAGCTTACATGTTATTTACATTTCCCTTCAATTTTCTAGTGTCATGTTTCTTATTGGTTATATTATACATGATATTGGTGGCTAGTCCGAATTGTTTACACCTGTTGGTTATATCCTCTGTTAATGGTGCTCAGTGCAGTTTATGGCTGTAGAAAATTCTTTATCTTCAGTCAAAATGCTGCTTATCAAATCCCAGCAGTATTACAAAGTGTTCCTAGTTAAGTACCATAATTAGTACCATATGATTTAGCTCAGTAGTTTAGAAGTGCATACTGAGACTATACTTGTGTACGTGTATTTCTGATCACTTTGCTGTAATAATATTCAGTTCTGTCAATCATTCAGTGCATAGAAACTGATATGTAGACAATTGGCCTCATTTGGATCCTTTTTTCTAAATGAATAATTTTGACCTTTTCATCATTAACAGGAAGAGGCTACCAAAAGCAAGTCTGCAGGAAAGGCATAGTACCAGACTATGATCTCCGACAGCGATTACACCGAGTTTGAAAACTTCTCAAAGTGGTTGGGAGTCTCCCAGTGAGATTTTTCTGTCTTTGAGTTTTGTCTTGGTATAATATCTTTATCTAATTGTTTTGTTTCAAGAGGAGTTAATTTACTTTTTGTGGCAGTTTTGAGACAAGATTTGAGTTTGGTGGGTTATGTTTTATGACAAGATGGATGGATTTTTCATTTTAGCAGATCTGGAATCAAAATTTTACAAATTGTAGTCTCTTACTTAAACACGATTTGTTAGTTTTTTTTTGAATGAGAAATTGAATTAATGCTTCATTTGTTATTTGAATGGGAGTTATTATTTTAAATGTTAGTTTTATTACAGATATTTGAATGGGAGTTAATATTTTGTATGTTAGTTTTATTATAGGTATTTTTTTATTAATTGAATGAGAAACTAAATTCAATATTTTTTACAGGTATTCTTTTTAATTTAATCAAATAAAATTAGCATAATATCCCCCCAAAAAAAAAAAAAAAAAAGGAAGATATGACGGCGTTTCTACAAACGCCTCCTAATCCCTCAACAGTAACGGTAATATTTTTAAAACAGATACGACGGCGTTTCAAAAACGTCGCTAAATATTGTTGGTGACGTCAGCGTGTGTGTGGTGGGACATTTGGCGGCGTTTTTTAAAACGCCGCCTTTACTAATATCACGACATTTTTAAAACGTCGCAAAGCTACAGCGACGGCCGCAGCTTCGACGTTTGGTATTAAACGCCACAAAAGGAATTAGGGGCGTTTTTGATACATATGGCGGCGTTTTTTAAACGCCGCTAAAAGTGCGATTTCCAGCAGTGTGTTTTTAGATGTAAGTAATTTTTGAATCCGACAAATAAATGTATATGAAAATGCTACACAAATTCAGGGGTGATTTGAAATGATCTAAATAAGTGTACTTTTTGACTTTTTATGAAATATGAGTTATGTATGGATTGGGTTTGAAATGATAAGGTAGAGAGATGATATGACTTAAATAGGATAGTGTGCCTGTTTGGCAGAACTTAAAAGCAGCTTATGTCAGCTTTCAGCTTAATTTAAGTTATTTCACTGCAGGAATTTTCAGAATTAACAACGTTTAAAAAACGCCACTATAAGTCTTCAAAACGCCGTTAAAGGATAAATACGGCGTTTATAACTTTCGTCGCAGATACGGCCGCCGTCTTAGGTATACAACGTTTATAAAACGTCGCTAATGACTTTAATCGGCGTTTTTTAAAACGCCATAAATTCTCATACATTCCGTTAGTGAAACCGTCATAGATAAATGTTGACATCGTATGACGACATTTACTGACGTTTTTTAAAAAACGCCATCGTTTCTCTTTTTTTTAAAAAAAATAAATATAAAACACTGCAATTTATATAAAAAGAAAATGTATAATTTCAATTGCACTAAATCTGCAAAATAAAACTCCTCAAAAAAAAAAAATACAATATGCAAAATAATGATTCAATTTTCAAATTGCACTATTAGCACTTTACACAAGCACATAAACTAAAAAACTTTCATGAAAATGATCATGAAAGATTTATGACCTTTGGATTACACTTAAAATAAAACATCACACACTAATCAAGGTAATCCAAGGGTCATAAATTTTTCATGATCAGTTTCATGAAAAAATTTTCATGATCCCTATCTTTTCTCAACTAAAAATAAACCAAACAATTTTAATTCCTCTTCCATAAGGCTACAATTTCCAAAAGGCTCATTCATGGGCCAATGCTTATTTCAAGGAAAAAGTTGGCCAATGCTCCTACAAAAAAACACTTGAATCAATAATATTAAAAAAAAATAAAGAAACTACCCCCAAAAAAAAAATAAAAAATAAAAAATAAAAAGCATCAATGGTCGCCGCATTTTCCACTTTGTTCTTTCTTTTCACCATCTGAGTGTAGCAGCTGACTATTTGCTGATCAAGTTCGTAGTAGTGCTTCATCTGCCTGACAGTTTGTCTTCACCCAGATCTCTACATGCTATACAAGGCTGAGAAACAACATCATAATATGCATGAATTGCCCCTTCTATGTCAAAGATATCAAGCTTTTGAACTTCAAGAAGCCGATCTAGCAACCCTGATCGGGAAACAGCTTCAGTAACAAGTTGCAGGAAATTCGTTGTACGTAAGCCATCATCTGCCTGAATAACACACTTGAGAACATCTTCAAATGCATTACCAATCATACAACTAGTAATATCTGCCCCACCACCCAAGCCCCCAAATATGAGGGAACCGTTCAAGAAAACACGAAAATTGTTCTGAGGAGTGCAAAAGAGAGCCGTGATTGCTTTATGTACTCTCTCCTTGGATCCAGAGAGCATATCCAAGGGATCATATTCACTTGTATCTGATATCTGAATAAAAAGCCGAACATATTGAGCCAATACTAAAGTGAAAAATAAATAGCTGATTGAACCAAAGCCAAATATAAATGCTGATGTGTAATGCACATGAACTGAGAGATCCCTCCCATTATAGCTTAGCCTCAAAGAGAAAATAGTAAGAAAAAAAAATACCTCTCTTTGATGCAATTTCAATGACTGGTGCATTTTAAAACGAGTTATTCTCTTTTTAATGGCATTTTCTTCAGATATGAATCTTGAATCTGGAAGAAATCCACATTTGGGCTGTATTTTAGAAACAAGAAGAAAGTGAAGGCAAAAGAAAACAAGTAGCATATTAGATTGTTATGGCAAAAACCAAAAAGCAGAAAAACCAAGATGTTGATTGAGGAAACACACCTTTATCTCAACAGAGATGCTGAATTTCCCTTTAAGATTACCTGGACAGAAAAAGAAATCATAATACCACTCATATAAAAATGTAATTAAGAAAAGTAAACTAGTTTTCAACATTAAGCAATGGAAAATTTACTACTTTAAAAATCAAACTAGCTATTTCTATATATATTATATAAGAACTTTTCAACACAAATATAAAAAATTTAAAAATTAAAAAAAAATTAAAAAAGAAGAGAAAAAAGAACTAGTTTCCAACATTTCATGAAATCATGTGCTTGCATATTCTCCCATGAAGACACCAGTCATGTCTTCCTAAAGCACATTGTAATATGATTAATAAAAAACTAAGTCAAACTTGCAAAAACTTTGAAACTTAATTCCACAAGGCCCATTCTAGATAGAAAACAATATATTCTATTATTCCCATAGCCCACCAAGCCAGAAATCCACATCAAGGGGGGTAACCTATTGCTAATATGCAAATATGCCGGAAAAGGTTCAACAAATATAAAACAATTAAGAAACAAAACACATAAATTTCAATTGAAACACAAGTCTCTCACACAAAATTATTTATGAAATTTGCACATGGATTAATAATTAAAATTAAAAAGCAAGAGTATTTATTTTTTATAAAAACATCTAACAATTATGTGATAAAAATTATTCAATACCTTTGAAGTAATCACATTGGTCGTTCAAAATTCTCTACCACGTGATGAATTACAATAACCAAGTACCAGAATAAACTCCTAAGCCCAATATTAAATAGATTTTAGACAAGAAAGAAGCCATGTTTCTTGCATCCTAGCATGACACTGACTAAAAGTTGGAGATATCACTTCAAAAATTATGTCTTACAGAATTTGCCTTCTATGGTGCAAGGAGAAGATCTTATTTGAAAGTTCTCAGGAGATAGTAATTACCCTGGGGAAAAATTGAATGATCAGATATAAGAAGAGCATAATCACAAAGGGGGTTGACCTTGGCTGCATCAACTCGCCAAGAAGGGCGCTGGCAAAGAACATTCTTTTCAACCAATTCCAAAAATTCACTGGATACATGGACACGAATCTGCCAGATACGAAGGAAACAACAGACAGCATGTTACTGATGTCATAAATGATTATGTTGTTGCTAACAATGATATCCGCCAAAAACAAAAAAAAAAAAACAGAAATTGCAGTTTCCTTAACGCTTTCTCATAGATAATGAAAAATATATAACCCTTAAGTGCCTGCCCAAGCATAAACCACAAGATTCCAGCCCTTTGGCCTTTCCAATTTTTCCCTTGAATGGACCACAAAGGACAGCTATGTATCAGTTAAGCAACATATGGCCAGATGCAGAGCACATCATTTCAAGGAAAACCCATGAAAAGATGTTAGTTCCAAGAATTGTTGAAGATTTCTTCCCTTTTTTTCATACAGCATTTGGAGCAGATATCAAAAGATGTGTGTGTGTATATGAAAATGAAATCAGAATGGCAGCTATGAAGCACAAGTAAAACTTTCCTAAAACAAGCTGTAAGCCAAAATTGTCTTCTCCTCAAAACTCTGAAAAATTAGCTATACAAATACAGCAAACAGTGGAGGTGTAACAAAATTCCTACAACCACTCAACAGCAACATACCCCAGCATCAACATGTTCAGAACCTAACAGTGGGGTGATTATATGCTGCACATATAGTTGCTCAGCAATTTCCCTTGATGGGGCTGATCCAAGGTCTTCAATTTCTTTCCATAAAAGGCACTCATCTGTAGTTAGAGCTAATTCAGCTGAATGATTATCCTCATTATCAGATCCATATCTAGGAGATTCGCATCTAGGAGATCCGTTCCTAGGAGCTTTTTGTATGCGTAGTACCTTCCCAACCTATACAAAATTGAAGAAAGATGTTGTAACTTGTAAGCAACAAATGTAAGTACACTCCAATGTCTTTAAACGAAAGCATGTTGCCCAACTTATTGACTCATTTTTATCACCCACTTTCTCTAATTTTTTAGAGATAATTGTAGGAATTTTATCTCATTCTATAATTTTATGCATCTTTTTCTAGACAAATCTATGAAGTGCTGAGCTGGAGGGAAAAGAGTCAGTAATGAGGGGCCAAATTGCCAAAAGAAGGCATAGGGCTGATCTCACCTGGCTGTTGATGGGTTGGCTTGAGTTTTACTTAATTAAATCATTGTTAAATATTACTCAATAGAGGCCAATTAGACCAATAAAATTATAAGAGATTAGTCTCAATTAAACATTATTTGTACAGTTTTTATAATTGAGGGGGTCAAAATGTATGGATTTATAGATAAATAGTAAGGAGACATTAGCTAATAGTTGAGAGAATTAATGTACAATATCCTTATGCCCATAAAGTTTCACAAGTGATCCATTTAAATGAATTATAGGAACTCACAAGTAGACTATATTCTTTCTCTTAACACAATTTAATTGCTTTTATTTAGTAAAAAAATTTGTTCAATATGATTACATACCAATCAAGTAAATTATATTATTTGTTTATTGCAAGAATTTTTTAACACATGACATAGGCCGAATTAAATTTTTCGAAAATGGTAGGATAATCATTTGTTCTTATCGCAATTTGTTTATCACCTAAACCACCTATGTGATACCAATGTAGCATCGACACATGAGATGGTATACAAAACACGATAAGAAAATATGGTTATCATAACATTCTTGTAAATATTTATGGGATCATTATATGAGTCATTAAATTTTGAAAGGCAACACATTGTTGACTTTGCAATTTTTTTGGAAATGTTAGATTGAATTTGGGGGCCATCATGAGATATACAAAAAAAATTTAGAAATAGCATACATAATGTTGGAGGGGCCAGGACTCCCCTTGATGCCCCCCTCCCTCCACCCCTGAGCTCTGTTATTAGAATCTTACGATTTGCGATTCGATTCATGATTCGATTCGCAATTTTTGCAAAATCGATACGAATCTATAGGTGAATGAATCTCTAGTGAATCGCACGATTCACAATCGATTCACAATCCGATTTACTTTTTATAATTCATGCAATTTTTGAAATTATTGTGTATGGCATACTTTCAATTTTTTTTTCTCCATCTTCTTAGTGAAAATGATATAATATAACTTCTAATATCGTCTAATACCAAGAAAAACAACATATATACATGATTTATTGTTATTTTAGTGATCATGGAATTTTTAGTAAGATCCAATCAGATTCAGTCAAACTCAATATATTTTTAACCTTCTCATTTTCTTCCCCCAAAAAACATAATATATCTTCTAAAGATGCTTAAGATTAAATTATACAATGAATTATCTATTGCTATTTTATTAAATTGAATATAATTGAATATTACATGTGTGAGGTCAGTTGTACCTTTTAAAATGTTTTAGGCTTTAAAATAAAATATTCTAAATAATTCTTTCTTATTATTTGCTCATTGTTACTTATAAAAGTATGTATGCTTATTGTCCAAATATCAATATCATTGTTAATTATTGTTACTTTGAAAATTGATAGTTTGTCTATTTGGTTATTATTTTTATTAAGAATGGTTGATAAGGAATATCTAAAAAAGAAAAAAGGTAAGATGGTGATCTTACATAGGAACATTTGTTAACTTCTTACCTATTAAATTATGTGATTATCATTCAAAATAACATTTTCATTGATTTAAGTCTAATTATTTCATATTCATAAGATATATTTAACATCTAAAGGTATAGATATATATTTTTAAGTAACTTAAAAAAAAATGACCAAATCTTTACGATCCATGATTTGATTCGATTCGATTCGATTCATGATTCGGTACGTGGCCATTTCGATTCACGATACGAATCCCGATTTGATAACTATGTCCCTGTGTATGATAATGGTATAGGTAAACTGACAAGAACCCTCTAAAATTGTCTTCTGAGCGAGATGAGAGAGAATACGTAAACGGACAAGAACTCTCTCTCTCTCTCTCTCTCTCTCTCACACACACACACACACACACATTACTAAATAGTCATTAACAATGAATAAGAAATTCACACCTATTTAACAAGTTGAAAGATTTTAACATGTTTCACTTCAACCAACAAGTTCAAAATCCAAATAAGTAACCAAGGGTACTCAAAAAAACTAATTCTAACATGTTTCACTTCAACCAATGTTTGATTACCCAGAAAGTAAAGAAAGCCAATAAAGGAAATTTGTTATTATGATTTGAAAAGAAATTAAAAAGCTTGGCTGAAGTAATTTACATTTAGAGTGCTAGTAACCTGGCCCAATCCACTTCTGGAAAGTCAAAAATTTCACGATTCAAAATTCTCATTTCTGTTCTTCTCCTATTATTTTTCCACAACCAAAGAAAGTTTTCTTTCAAAGTCTTACACTTATACAAACTAAATCTCACTTCTTTGTACCCATTATGCTTGCAAGAAAAGAACAAACCAATTAACAGGAGCGAAGCATAAATGAACATACAAATGCAGGAGAGGATCCGTTGTAAGAAAGAACAATATTGGCAGCTCCTTCTCCTCTATAAACCCAATCACCGGCATCTTTTTTCTCTAATACCACCGCCATCCCCTGCAAACCTATAGAACAATACATACATTAAAGATGCATCATAGATATGCACATACATAGACATAGAGATGAGTGAGAGACAGAGAAAAGAGTGTCTTTGCTTTGACGACTCAGTTGCTAAATTTCTTTGGTAGTCTACAAGACTGGAATGCAATTGAATTTGGGGTCGTGGGCTACCTATTATGTGATGAGCACATTGAAAAGTTCGACTTCTTGCTACACAAAATTGTACCTTCATGACTCTTTTGTTTTCATACTTCTACTAAAACCAAAATCTCTATCCACTTTTCACGCCTCACTCCTTACTTTACAAGCCATACCTAAAACGGGATGTTTCAGAAAATTTTCATAAAAATAATTTTTCAAACAAGTTTTCCATATATATTTCTGATTTTCTGTTTTCAAGAATAGAAAACAAAAAATGAAAACAACACCAAACATGGTAATGTCGCCAGTTCATGTTTTCTATGAACATGTTTTTGTGTTTTATTTTGCAGAAGACAAAAACAAAGGACATGATTGGTAGACTTTTGTTCTCAAAACATGTAAAAACAAAAACAAGAAAAACGTGTTTGTTCGGTGAGTTGTCAAAGGGGGCGGCTGGCGGCCAGAGCTAGTGGCTGGAGTGTGGGTGGTGACTGAAGTTGGTGGCCTGAGGTTAGGGGTGGCCAAAGGGTAGTAGGAAGCACGGATACGAGATAAAAATATGATACAATACGGATACGGTGATGCAACAAACCTAAAAAAGTAGGATACAGGTACGACTAGGATACAGTTGTGGCACATCCATAAATAATATAATCACAAACCGAAAACTGTAAACATAAATGTTACCAAACAGGCCCTTATCAAACTGAAGATGACTTAGGAATCATTGTATTGAAATTGTGTTTCTAAAATCTCCTTTTTTTGTTGTTTTAAAAATAGTTATTTCTATAACGTTCTGTGATCTATTTTACATACAAGGACATATACGATCTCATTCTGCATATATTACATATACTTATCAGAAACATATATACTAAAATGCATTTGACAAAAAGAAATAAACAACCTGGAACTATCTGAGCATTTCTAAAATTTCACCAATTTCCAAATCAAATATTTCACCAAGAATCTCAAAGGACAGCCCATTAAACCTTCTTCAGCATGAATTCAAACAATGTCAACACCTGACCCACTTGTGAAAGCATCTATAGAAGGAGCAGCAGGCGTATAGATCCGACTATGATTCAAATTTCAAGTATAAAATGATCTGAGCAATATCTATCAGAATGATATTCAACCAAGATGAATGGGACAAAAGAATGATGGCAAAACCAAAGTGAGACGCATAACTAGAACAAATGCATAATTGCAGAAGAACACAAACAGCAACTTGCTTTAAGTTGAACAAAAAGCAACTTAAAAAGAATATATGACTAGCATAACTAGAAAAAACAAATGAGGAAGCATATGGTACAGTAAAGGTTTAGCTCCACAACAATCTTTGCAATCACTAGACTGTCATTACCAGTCATAGCATAGAGTACACGAATTGTCTTGAGAAACTTAAGTACGACAGAAGAAAAGTAAATAGGAAGAAAATTTGGCAGTCTCGGACAGATGTGAGAACCTTCCAAAATAAATGTTTAAAATATGATGAAAAAGGCCTAATCACCTGCCAAGGAAGCTGTTTATGTTTCAAACTTCCTTCTTACAGTAATTTTAACTCAAATTAAATTTGCATCATAGAAAGAATCCTTCTCAAACACCCAAAACCAGTTTTATTATACTGTTTATTATTCTGACATGTGGTGAACTAACTAGCCTGAGGAGGTCAAAAAGAATCGAATGAGCTGAGCTTGAGCCAATCTTCTAAGGTATTGAAATTTTAACTATTTCAGAAAATCAAAAAAAAATCCCATAGGAGGGCAACGGAAAATCCTTGTACGATTGCATTTGCATGTATCATTGCAACCAATATCTACCAAAATACAATTATGGAAAGTAACAAACTGGATATTAGCGCCTCATCTAATAGCCTGAAAACTGGAAAAGTAATTCAATTAGACATCCTGAAAACTGATTGTCAATTTCAACGAAATTGAGCACATAGTTGTCAAAAGCAACTAGACAACATCGGGGGGAAATCTACCATATGAAAAAAATAATAATAATTCCAAGCTTCTTCACATTATACCATGACAAATAAGCTATCTCCAAACATTATCTAAACTGAATCAATTACATGAGCAAGTTTTGCAACCAAAACCAACCCCATTAATTAGGAAATTACACACACACCACATGTAGAGAGAGAACGGTGGAAGAAAAGAGCATGAAAAGGACCTTGATGGAGTTGGCACCAGCAACTACAAAATGCTTCAGGCTTTTGGTCAGATACATGTAACCATGAACACAAATGGACCCTTTAACTGTCAAATTATGGCCTCGTTTGGGAAGCGGCTATTTTAGTAGGCTATTTTAGTTTTTGGCTATTTTAGTAGGCTAAAATTTTTGTGTTTGGGAAGATGATTGGATTTTTTTGTAGTTGGATGTGATGTTTGTGAGAGAAAAAGTGAAATGATTATGGGTTTGATGTGATATTTTGTCTTATTAGCTATTTTAGCCTATTTTGTCTTTTTGTGATTTTTAGCCTAAACTAGGCTATTTTTTTTCTTCCCAAACACCCCCTATATATACACGCATTATAGACACACTTTAAGTTTGTTGTTTATGTATCAAACATCGATCCCAAATAACTACAACCCTACTTTCAATTTTTTCATAATTTTAGGAATAGAAAGTGGAACTAATCGAACATATATATATTATTAGCAAATAAAAGCACCAAACTAATCGCACTATATGAATTATGTGGAGGGACAAAACCATGAATTTTGGTATAGGGTTTCAGAAACACAGTAGAAAAATGAATCCAATGAATTAGATAAAGTCTACTACCCAATAAATCTTACAAACGATCATATATAAGCAGTTCTACAGGGCTGTTTGGTACAGCTTTTAGGAGGTAATTATAGCTTAGTTTAATTTGGGAGTCTGTGCCAGACTGTTTAGTGCAGCTTCTGCTTATAGCTTATTAGGCAGAAATGGCTTAAATAAGTTGAAAAAAAGCTAATTATTTGAAAGCTGGAAAAGGGATGTTTTTAGTTTCTACTTTTTTATTATCAGCTTTTAGCTTAAGAAAAGCTCCACCAAACAGGCATTACGTATATAACCTTCAAAATAAGATCACATAATCACGCTCTAAGCATTGGTCAATATCACCTTATCCATCGACAAAGTAATGTAAGCACGTTTTCATATCTAAGTAAAGAAATAGTATGAGCAATTCTAAAAAATGATCATTAAATTGGATTTCAAAATAAAACATTCCCAGATATTAATGCTTTTGCATAGTTTCACGCAAGTTAAAAAGACATAACTTTAATGATCTAAAGCTCTTGGCAAGAATTTGAGACTAATGATTCCATTAATTGTTGCCGATGTCCACTAGAAATTGTAACAATATCGTAATATATGAGATGGTTCAACAGATAAAATTGGCCTGATAAGTAGTAGTAATAAATTAATAATAATAATTTGGAGACTCAAGAAAACATTAAAAATAATATTTTTACACATTAATTTGGAAAGATAATGTACTAATTCAGAGTACAGATACCCCCCCTAGACACCAACGATATTTAGAAAACAAACCTCATAATGTTTCTTTTCTTGGAGAAGAGCTTTTACATATGTAAGGTTACTTGGAGGGGAAAAAAAAAGTGAACATAATTCAATTTGCTCAAATATCTTTAATCAATTAGTTTTTTTTTTTTTTTTTTAAAGAAGGTTAATAATAAAAATCTCAATATTTGTTACAATAAGATAAATTTTTTTACTATAAAAGACCAAATTTGACAAGATGAAGAACCAAAAAATCAACTAACAGTAATCACATTTATTTAAAGGTATTGAAAAAAAAAAACTCTAAACCTCTGGTCAACAAAGGAATAAAATAATTTGTTAACTGTGTGTCTTTAGCTACACAATTTTCAAATCCTAAGCCACCCATAAGGATAGAACACAGAAAATCCTGTTTCCTTCTTATGTCCATATAGACAGCAAAGCATTTTAATTTTTGTAATTCAAAATTAAAGACCTACTAATATCTTTGGCTTTTAAATTTCTAAGAATTATGATATGGACAACAGGCCTTTTATTTAAAGTAAACCAAAAGGCAATCGTAAAAAGTATGTTCATTTAAAATTAAAGTAACTTTCATAGATTTATGCCTTCTTGGCATCTTTTTCTCAAATTTTTTTTTTTTCTGGTCAATTGGTATCTTCATACTCACAAAAAGTTGCTTTCTTGTGTGAATATCCTTTATTTGGTATATGATAAAATATATTTTTTTACAAAAATTTGCATAGATGTATTAATGTAGAAAACCCTGTTCACAAAGAGTTTAGATCTATGTTACTAGAAAAAGCTAATACCCTAGCTAATTACGTTTTGGCATGCACATTCCAAAACATGGTACACTTACATTCCAAAACAATTAATTTAGCAATATGAAACAATCCCAAAAGTTTATGTCAATAAATTTCCTTAAATGTTTCCTTATGAGGAAAAAATCAAATATAATAAATTAAAATCTAAGGTAAGTTAAGTTTTAACAAGAAAAAGCATAAAAAATGACTCACAGTACTCATAGAACTGTTCTACTAAATGAAGAAGAAAAACTAAATTTTATTAGATACCTAATAATTAAAAGAAAATTACTCTAAAAATTCCTTAAATTCGCAAATATAATATATACAAGTCTATATCTATAGTACCACATTTTAGAACATGTCCCTTACCACATTCCCGTTCCCATTCCCGTACCAGAACGATTCAGGTAACATAGGTTTAGATCAAAAAGTCACCACACTAATATGGAAATAACATTATGGTTTTTAAGATTCCAAACAGCATCTATATATATATATATATATATATGTATAACTCATTACCCAAAAGAGAAGTTCCTGATTGTTAATTGCTGAAGCCCACCCAGTTGAAACCGCTGGGTCGTCTAATTTTCGCCTCTCAATCTTCGATCCCAACCCACAAAATCGTAGAAATCCAGCGAAAATTAGTAAACCAACCAGCTCAACTGCGAAGGAATAAGAAATTCGTAAGACAACGAAGAAAAATAAGATTTGCATAAACGCAAAACCCTAGATGTTCTTGTATAACACAGAATCGATAAATATAAATGCATTTACATTCTTATATGTATAGAAATGTAGAGAGAGAGAGAGAGAGAGAGAGAGAGAGAGAGACCTGTTAAGAGATGAAGCTCGAAGCTTGAGAGGCTGAGAGTTGCAGAGACGAAAGAGAGCATTCGGCGAATGAAGAGGAGAGGGATGTGATGTGATGTGAGAGTATACAATAATACACATACCACATCCACACCAAATTGACAAGCACAAAATTACTTGCGCATGAATTAGAATTATGATATGAGAGTAAAGATATTTTGAATTCGTGAGTTTTGAAATTGTAGTTTGAGTCTAAAAAATTTATTTAATTATAAATTTTGAAAAAAATTTAAATTGAGTAATGTGATATGTAATATTGAAAAATGAGTATTTTTAAAAGTGAATATGAAATTAATTTTTTAAAATTGTAATAAAATACTACATTCAAATTAAGGAATAGAATTAAACTTTAAAAGTTTTATCAAAATTTATCAAATTATAGTTTTTTTTAAAAAAAACTTGAAAAAAGAGGTTTCGTGAGCCATCATAGCATTTATAGACTTGATTTCGAGATAATTAATTGCTAATTAGATTTAACTCAAATTATAAGAATGAATTATCATTGGGGCACACAAATCTAACCCATAATAACCAATTGTCAAACAAATTTAATCCAACCCACACTATTAAAGCACATAAATAGACCTTGCACATTCGCTATACAAGTTGCAGAGTGTTGATTAAGGCCTTGTTTGGCATAATTTTAAAAAGTTAAAAGGTTATTATTCTATTTAAGTCAAATTATCTTATTTAAGTCATATCACCTCTCTAATATATCACTTCAAACCCAACCTATATTCAACCCATATTTTACAAAAAGTAAAAAAGTACACTTATTTAGATCATCTCAAATCACCCCTAAAGTACAATGTAATGTGCTGAAGTAAACTAACGCTCCAAAAATCAACCATTGCTCAATGATGTATTAGTGTTATTAGTGACTTTTTTTTAGTGGTATAAACCATTATTAAATAAAAAAAATAATTGTTGATTCTCTTAAAAAAATGAGATACTTACATATAGGTTTTAATAAATGAATTTATTGTCTAATAGGTCTTATGAAAAAAATTTATTTTAAAAAAAATCACTAATTGTAAGTTTTAGCCACAATTTATAAAAATCATAACAAAAAAATCACTAATTATCAATTTTTAGCGACATATATAAAAAATTGTCATAAAAAAATTATTTTTAGTGATAATAGACTTACTTTCAATAGGACTTGATGGGAATCAAGTCTAACTATTAGAATCTATAAGTAGTTTACCTAAAAAAATTGCCATTGATTCTCTTTTAAAAAAAAAAAAAAAAAAATAGCCGTTGACCGGTCAACCGGCCGGTTGACCCACGGGACGACCTGCCCATTCTGTTGTCTTCATCCTACACCTTAACACATATTATTTATACTATTTTATTTATTATTTATATATATATACACTGAACACACACTTTTAACACATCCATTGCACCACCACTCACTCTCTAAAATTAACAAACTCTTAACATATCTTAACATATATTTTTGGACCCCACTTTTATTACTTTTTGTCATATAACGCACATTTTAACAAACAATTTTAGTTATCCCATTGTGAATGCCCTAACAAATTGAAAAATATACTAACTGTTAAAATTAATTCAATTGTTGAATTCATTGAAATGAAATTGTGATATCTTATAGTTATATTAAAAATTATATATAAACTAAAAGTAAATCTATTAATATAAAAATTAATTACAGAATTTGACACCTAAACTAATCCGTAAGATTAGTATTAGGGTTACATAGTTTGATCATATTAGAAGAGGGCAAATTATTACTTCCTTAAGGAAGTAATAGGACCGACAAGTTTTATAATATATTAAGAGAAATTCTTCGCAAGTTCTTAAGTTCAAGGATATTCTATACTATTTTTAAAATAAAAGTCCTTCAAATTTATATTTTAAAAGACTAGGTCAAATTTTAGATTTTTTGTCCACGACTTTCTCCTTCTATATCTATATATATGTACTGTCTCTTATTTCATTAGATTATTTTTTGCAACCATCTCTTTCATCTACTATTGGTTCCGCTAGGAATAGCCGCCTCTAAGTCTTTATTTGGGATAAATTAAAAAGTCAAAAAATTTAAAAATTATTAGAAGAATTAAAAAAATCTATACTATTTATGGGTAATTTATGGAGAAGTCAATTTTGTCCTTTGAATTTAACTATCTAAAAAATCAAAAAATTAAAAGTCAGAAAGGTAAAATTGTCATTTTAATTTTATTATAATATTTTATTACATATATTTTTGTAAAAAGTCAAAAAATTATCTCAAATATACATATTTTTTTCTATATTTTTTTAACTAAAAAATTAAAAAATATATTTATATAACACATCCCAAAACAACTACTAATCTACAACTATCTGCTTTCTATTTATCTCTCTCATCACCATGTGCATCATCCCAATTCTACATCCATATATGCCATTATCTTCTTAGCCCCAACCTCAATTAGGGGTTGGTTTGAAATATTTTAATAAAGTGTATTTTTTAATTTATTAGTTTATATGGGTTGGGTTTGAGTTGAGTTTGATGTGATGGGTTAGAAAGGTAATATAATTTAAATAAGATGATATAATTTAAATAGAATAATAACTTTTTAACTTTTTGTATTATTTAAATTATGCCAAACTCGACCCTACTATGTTTTGTTATACTCTTTACCTATGTGTATTTATGCCATTTATCACTGCAGCGAGAGATTGACATTTTACCTAACAAGTCAAGTTTCAACCGTTATTGTTTGTGCAATCTTCTCCAATTTGATCACATCGACTACAATTATAAATTTTATAACTTAAATATACAAAATTAATAGTTAAAAAAAAGAAGACAAAATGGTGATAATTTAAAGCCTATAAGTGAAATTAAACCAAAATGGTAATTAATGAAATGACTTGCTAATACCGTGACTCACGATATTATGAAACATATTATACATTCACCGTGACTCACCTATTAGAATATTTTCAATTCTTCACGTTCTCTTTATTTAAATTTAATAAAAGAAGGGCCAAAAATCATCTTTATCATTTCATTAAGGGTATATTTGATTGACATGATTAGAATATGAGATTAGGATTATTAATCTGTGAGCTCAATAATCTTGTGTTTGTTTTGAAATTTTGTTTCAAGATTATTAATTAAATGGATAATTAATCCAACAAATTTGTAGGATTATTAGTAATGGAGTAAGTGTGAGATTATATACCTTGAGCTGGGAAATAAAATTAAAAGACTATTTTACCCTTGACTAAAAATTAAAACACTTATTATTTTTATATAATTTTGTATCTTAGAAGGCTAAAAATAATTTTTAAAAATTTTAAAATATTTTTTGATATTTATTTTATCAAATTAGTTTATATTTAAAAAAAATTTTAAAAAAAAAAAAAACAAACATGGCTTTTGTATTTTGTATTTTTATTTTGCTTTTTTTCAAAACCACGTTTATGAAGAAATTTTGATAAAGTAAAGATTGTGAATAAATATTGATGGAGGGTAAGATTGAAAAAGAAGATAAATATAGTTGTAATTATTCAATGCAAATTAAACAATAGACAAAAGGATAATTTATCGTACTAATCCAATTGGATAGTGAATACCATACTAATTTGATGGGATTATTAATACCTTCATTATTAGTCTTGTAAATCAAACATGATCTAAATATATAAAATTAATAGTTAAAAAATAAAATAGACAAAATGGTGATAATTTAAAGCCTATAAGTGAAATTAAACCAAAAATGGTAAATAATGAAATGACTTGCTAATTAAACCAAAATGGTAAATAATGAAATGACTTGCTAATGATATTATGAAACATATTAATATACATGAGTAGTGATTTAGAGCACTAAATTTGAAACTCTAAAAATACCATTAATGATGTGACAATGTAAAATAAAAAATAAAACAAAACAAAGGCCAAACTATCACATCAGTAGTAGGGTCCACATGATGCCACATCATTAGTAGTGCATTAGTGATGCTAAATTAGTGGTATGAAGCATTTTTCAATATACATTCACCGTGACTCACGTATTAGAATATTTCCAATTCTTCACGTTCTCTTTATTTAAATTTAATAAATTAATGGCCAAAAATCATCTTCATCATTTTATTAAGGGTAGTGGGAATATATTTTCTGAGTCCCAACACGTAGCCAAGGTGACGCCGACGTGTCAGCCGACGTTCCACGTGTCCAGATCATGACGCCGATGTGATCTCAGCAAAGCCGAGGTTATCTCCGAAAATATCGAAATCCGAGATAAGCGGACAAGGGACAAGAGTTCAAGAATAAGGAAGGATTTTAGCATGGATAAGGATAACACTCATAGGAAGTTTATCTTTATCGCTTGAAGAGTCCAGGATAAGCACTGAGCAAGAGTCCATTTAAGCTGGGCTTCTAGTGGGACAAAGATTGAGTTAACTATAAAAGAGAGGCACCCCCGATGGGTCTAAGGTACGCAATTTATATTCTGAACAGTGAGTTTAGCACTATTGATTATCTTTGAGAGATATACTGACTTGATCGTCAGAGTACCCCCGGGTGGACGAACCACTGCCGGAATCTTCTCTTTCTGTTGCAGGTCAGCCAAGTGTCATTTATTCTGCCAGTTCTCTCCAGCTAATTACTGAGTTGGCAGTGTGATCGGAAAATCACTCACACAATTTGGCACTGTCTGTGGGAAAGAAAAAAGAATAGATGGCCAGTGACGGACAAAAGGAAAAGATTAGGGACGACACTTCTGCTGGGAGTGGCAGACCTATCGACCTTGACGTCGAAGGACACAACCGCAACACAGAAACTCGTGACCAGAATCACAGCAAGAAAGACGTCGGCCAGGATGGCGGCGTACCAAAGAAGCCAGATCGAAGTGGGTACTACAACGAGGATGACCTGCAGGTATAGAAGGATAAATACCTGCGGAGGGACAAAGAAGTAAAAGAGATGGCAAACAAATTGGCAGACCTGCAATCGGTCGTCAATTTCATGATGCAAAACAATGTCATGCAGCCACCATACCCGCTGCAAGACACGCCAATTCCAGCGGCCAATGCCCAGAAGGGAGGGCAGAAGACAATCCCAATAGCCCCACAGCACACCAGAAACGAAAAACACTCTTACC